ATCAACAACTTTAAATTTTATTGTAAACATACAAAATGTCTACTGACACTGAAACAGACTTCGACCAAGGCATTTTTACTGACCCCAAAATAGACAACGTACAACAGATGGAGAACGATTTACAAAATCCATTGGATTTATTAATTTCGAATGAAGTGCTGGATAATGTAAAAATTTACGATTCCACAGTGTAAGTATTACACCTATTAAAAAATAACAATTAAAATTTTAATTAAAAAAATTTAAACGTGTCACATATTATCCATTTTAACTAAATAATCCATCATAACCACCACAACATACAAATTATAAAACAAAATATATAATATAAAAATAACAATAACAATAATAATAATAAATAATAATAATAACAATAATATAATAAATAATAATAATAACAATAATATAATAATAATATATATTACATTATTTCATTCAACAGAGAAATTGTTGGGTATGTGGACGGCATTGAGTCTCCCCGATTAGTGGGAGACAAGCAACAATATAAATTTTTTAAATTCTTTCTTAATAACGCAAATGGGAGACGTGTTCAAGTCGTAGCCTGGAACGAAGAAATAAAAAACGTTGAAAGTATAATTATACCAAACCACGTAAGTATTCAACCACATTCTTTCTCCTTTCTCCTTAATCCTTCCTCCTTCTTTCCTTCCTTCCTTATATAATTTTTAAAACTAAAATAATTGTTACAGATTATGCATTTAGATGGAGTTCAGGCTCGCGCTCCTAAGCATGCTAATTTCAATAATGAAAATGTTGCTTACAAACTTCATATAAAAAGTAACAGTATAATTAATAGTTTGGGGAAATATGAGCCTACCAGCTCTTCAAGTCATGGACCCATACCAATTTTATTAAAAGATGTTATGAATTCTTCTGGATATATTCGTAAGCCACAAATGTTTATACATATATAAATTGTAAATAATAAAATAATAAAATATAATAAAATAAAAAAATTATAAATAATAAAATATATATATAAATAATAATAATAAATGTTAATTGTTACAATTGTTGTTTTTTAATATTATTTTTTGTGTAAAAATTTGATAAGAAAGGTCACATAAAAATTGTAAGACTTAATTTTTGAATAGGTGATTTGTATTAGCAGTGGTTTGTAGTTTTAAAATAGTTATACGTTTTAAAATTTAGAAAATAAGTGTTGCAACC